ATGTTTATTCAGAGAAAGTACGTTTTTGTGTCTGATTTCGTAACTTAATTAATAGTTAGCACTAATTAATTAGCATATTTGAGGTCACCCCCAGGAACCATTAAGATTGACACTTAGTTCGTGAAAATCCGATCATTAGAACGAAAGTTATTCAGGGTGATTCGTTTTTTTTTTTGCGGACTGTACATTTGAACATTTTCTAGAGCATCAAGATTTTTCTCCTTGCTAATAAGTGCGGAACCTAGCTTAAATGACGACTACATCTGAATAAATATTATTTCTTTGCAATTTCCTTTTAGTTTTTTAGTGTAAAATACCACGTTGAAGCATTCTGCTATATTTTAGGCACCATGGCTTCTAAAACACTTAAGCTTCTGCTATGAACATCGAATCTGCATTTTTTTCCGTATTCGTAATATATTTCTGCAATCGTAAGATTTTTGTACCAATTTTTTTTTCAAATAATGATTATCAATCTCTATCTCTAATGTGTTTACTACACATTATATTGAAAAAAGAATTCTAAAAAAAATTTCAATAGATGGTTGCGATTATGAAACTTCCGGTATAATACTATTCAAATGTTGTCTATATATTAATTAAATATTTGGCAATATTGCATTTTATTCAGCATTTTAGTTATTGCTTGCATTCTTAAGAAAGTAAATAAATAGTGTTCTCTGGAATTATACGATCTGACTAAAATTACTACATCTTAACTGAAAAATACTTTCTTTTATGTTATGCCATTTATCATAAAAGTTTTATGAGTCGCAGAGTTACGTGAATTTAGTGAAATTTTTATTAATACTTAATGATTCCCATGCCATAATATGATGAAACAATTTTAAAAAAAAGTTAAGTAGACGATATATTTATTTTCATAGGAAAGTTTGTAGGAGAAAAAAGAATAATAAATTTATAATAAAGCTTTTCAAGAAAAAAAATAAGCTAAGATTTTTCAAACGTTATCAATTTAAAAAAAATATATTAATTGCTTTTTTTGATGTAAAATTAATTTGTTTACTACAAGTACATTCATAATTTTTGAAGAAAACAGTTAACCATTGTTAAAAATCATTCACCATAAAATAAATATTTAAACAAAGTTTCTTGCTTAAAAAACATCGTTTTTATAATGTTTGGATAATTCACAAGGCTCTTTCAAAATATATGTATGCTTGAATTAAAATCCTGATTCAATTAGTTGACGAACAAATAAACTGTTTTTGAATGAAATATAAAGATATTATTTGCTTGTCTTTTAAATTGAAAGCATTCGGATAAATTGCTGCAAAATTTACTTTGTATTGGTTATTTGTTTATAATTGAAAACAGAGAAACAAAGGCAGATGTAAAGTTTAAAAATTCATTAAATTTCACGTGAAAACTGGCATAATTGAATAGTTTGAAAAATCATTTTTCAATTAGTGTATTATTTAAGAAACTAAAGCATAGTATCAATATTTCAGCAATTCATCATTTTACATATGTTTAATCAATTAATAAATTATCGGATTCTTCATGAAACTGAATCAATCTTCTCTAAAATATTCGTTGGTGTTATAGTTGAAAAGCAATTTTTTTAAAGAATTTACTGAATGATGATTAAAACCAGTCAATTTAATCAGGAAACAAATTTCTTTTCAATTTAGATTTTACAAACGTTCTTCCTTTAAAAGCTTGAAACCATTTCAATACAAAATAATTTTGAAAGATTGAATAGTAGTTTATATAATCGCTAATGAAACCTCTATCATTATGCAATCTCGTTTTCGAATAATTAAATTGAAAGAAGCCTTTCATGTTCGCATAATAAAGTTTTTAAATCAAGTCTAAATCAAATACACTTTAAATCAAGGAAATGACTTAAAAGAAATTAGATTGAAAATTTTAAATAATAAATTGTGATCTCAAAACATACTTTAAAAATAAGCTTTAATGATTCATTTAAATGAATTCCTAACATGTTTGAAAAATTTTAAGGGAATGATAATTCTAAAATGTCTTAAATCAACACCTTCAGTAGTATTATCTTGAGTAATGGAAATCAAGTTTAGACGCACATTATTTTTCGTTTTAACCTGCATTATTTTTTTTAAAAAATTTATTCCGAACAAACTCAATCATTCAGTTCCTAATAATTGGCAATTGAGCAAAATATTACCATAGGTTGTTAAACTTATTTCTGAATAATTCAGTGTGGTGTTGCAATAATTAAGTGAAAAATGCTAACAAGATATCATTTGAGTTCTTACAATCGTGGACAAGCAGTTAGACAACTGCAAAAGGTCAAAATGTCCCTACTGTGGCCGCATTATCGGGAGAGTAAAAAATTGTCATCTCACGATTAAAAAACATCTCTGAAGGTTGAGATGCTATGCGGGAGAGCACCGGCGGTTGTTATAGACTACCACACCTGAAGAGTAACTATATGTATTCCCAGTAACGAAGAGGAACAGAAATGTCACTCCTAGACAGATAAGTGCAGACTACTACCGGTTGCAACCACTACCGGTACGCATGTTTCACCTAGAACCATCTTTCAGCGATCAAAACAAGTTGGTTTGCATGCATCCAGCTCTAATCACGCCATCCACGAAAAAGATTAGGTTGGTGTAAGGAACGTATTGATTGGGTTTACTAGTAAAGGTCCAGGGAGAAGTTCTGCGACGAATCCAGATTCACTATGAATACTGATTCTTGGCAACAGTTAGTGTGGAGAGAGAGAGGGGGGAACATGCAGTGTACAACAATAGATTCATGAACGTAATGGGCAGACATCAAGCACAATGGCTGAAAAACGTCTCCACATCTTCGAGCTAGGCAATATTACATCACAGCAGTATTGCAGAGAGATTATTCTGGATCATTATCATTTGTCTTTTAAGGGGTGTAGTAGGTCCAGACTTTCTGTTTATGGACGACAATGCGTGGCCATACAGGGGAACAGAGGTATAGGACACACTAGAAAGTAAAGATATTGACCATTCGCAATGTCCTGTAAACTCCTCGGATATAAATTCTTTAGAGTATGCCTTGATCGCCCTTGGCAGATATGTTTCACAACGAATACACCCTTTCCACACCATGCAAGAGCTGAAAACCGCCCTGAGTGAGGAGTTGAACGATTTCGCTCAATGAGTCTTTGATCAGTCGCAATGGCTCAGGGGATGGAGCGTTCGCCTTCCAATGAGGTGAACCTGGTTCGAATCCCACACGATACGAATTACTCATCCGACTTGCACCAACCACAGTGCTGACGTGAAATATCCTCAGTGGTAGACGGATCATGGGTTAGAGTCCCCTTGCAGTCAGGCTAACCGTGGGAGGTTCTAGTGGTCTTCCTCTATTGTAACGCAAATGCGGGTTAGCTCTATCAAAAAGTCCTCCACGAAGGCAAATTTCTCCCAATATTCCCTCCAGGAGTTCCCTTGTCTTCTTGACTGGATTTAAAATTACAAGGCTACGTAGATGAACATTAGTAGTCGTAAACCCATGAAATTGGGTCGGCTGTGCAACGTCGGTTATAAAATAAAAAAAAATGTGTCCTTGATAGTTTTTTGGACAGCAGAAATAACAGATGCAACTACATTAGTTATAACGCACATTCATTCTGACAAGAAGACCAATTTTTCATGGCTGCTTGAAAATCATTCAATAAACATCTTATATATATATCTATACATAAATATATATATATATATATGTGAATACATACACATAAATGTAACTTATATTCATAAGGTGATGTATGAAAAAGGGCATTGTAATTAATGTCAAGATATAATGTTTATAATATTGAGTCATTTTTGTACAAGGCAGTTGTTACTGTAATTATACAGTTCTTTCAAAGTGCAATATATTATTAATTTGATTGTTTAAATTGTTTTGTGCAAGTGAAATTTTGTCTTTTGTTCAAAGCAATTACTTAAGCATTTGCATTTATTTTGGTAGCTCTCTTCNATATATATATTACATTTATTAAAATATAAAAAATAATGTCAAATTTCTCAAAGTAATAAATAGCCTAACCAAAAAAATTATCTTTTCATTTATTTTTTCACGTATAAAATTTAGCAAGAAAATATTTATTTCAAATAATAGGTTGTAAAAATGGTCGTATCCAAATAATAGCTCTTTTTATGTCTCTCAATTTTAGGAGTATTTCCTGATGTTAATACTCCAGCTTTGGTCCCAAGAGAGAGTCCAAGTCATTCATCGATCGTAAAATCTTGGTGGATTATAGCAGCGATCGGAGGAGCAGTGATAGTACTTATATGCTGCGCTTTGCTTATGTGTTGTTTACGAAAAAAGACTAATAGAACCACGCCGCAAAGTAAGTTGCTTAAGTCACTTTTATTTTTCACTTTGGGGCTTGCCTCAAATTTATTCACAGGGCTTAGGGGTGTAGAAATCTTGTTTTAGTTTAAAAATTTAATGCATAAGAATTGGTTCCATGATTTAGTTAGTGGAAAAGTCGTAAGAAAGACATTCAACGCAAGCGCACCCCAAAGAAAATAATAGCTTTATCCGTTCTTTTTTTCTTTGTCTTTATTCTGGTTTTACTTTATTCACTTCATAAAGGTAGTTAAATAAGCTTCACAAGTCAACTAATAGTCATCTAAATAGGAACTTACAGGGGATTGTTTTAATTTATTAGTCTGTACAAAAATTGCTTTAAAATACATTTTTCTAACAAGAAAAAGTAAGCCAAATCTCTACGTATTATTATAGAAATTAATTTTGAAAATTATTTTTCACCAACTAAAGTAAAAAAAATAAAAGCGTTTTTTTGTTAAAAATTTTTCATTGCAGTAATAATAGAAAGAAGTTTATTCGCTAAATATTTTTTCCCTTCTTAATATCTAAAGAAAAACAAAATTAGAAAGTAAAATGTTTAAAGAATTTTAAATTGAAGAAGAGTGTGAGTTATAAATACCTTTTGGATTAACTTGATATTTTTTAATTTAATTCTTATTTAGGGGTATAAAATTAACGGAATGATAATACGCTATTGATATTTTATACATGTATTTATTTTGGTACTTAAAATTATTCAAAACCAATAAAAATTAATTTATAATTAATTGAACTTAAGTGAAATATTAGTTTCTATTCTAACAGGAACTCAAGAAACACGTCATATTGACGTTAATACATTTGCTACTGATGATGTCTGCAACAAGCTGTTGCTTACTGGTGATGTCAAATCTGTACTTTTATGTGGCTCAGAAAAACAGCATATTCCTCTTCATGATTTTCAGGTAAGCAATTTTGTGAAATTTTGTCTCTACCTATTTCTCGTTGATCTGGATTTATATTTCGAGATAATACTTAACATTTAACCTCCTTCTTCTTGACTTTAATTGATTTATTATCGGATACCATACTTATATTCATTGAAAGCGTAATGATTTGAAAAGAAAATACCTTACTATCCTACATATATAGTCAATGCACGCAGAATTAAATTTGACATCGCGTCCTCAAAATAGTTGGAGATATAAAACTATAAAGAAACATACCCTTTATTTTTACAGTAAGTTTATGGTGATTCACTATATGAACTTAATTACGGCAATTTATAAGTAAATTCAGAGACACCATAGATATTTCATTACGAGTTAAATACATGGGAATGCAAAATCATGGACTAAGGTTTCAAGTTATCCCTGATTCGATACAAAAAAAAACAAACAATTTGTGAGTATTAGTTTTGATAACAGAAAACGTAACTAAGGCTTCACTTATGTTTTGTGCTTCCATGGGATTTTTTTACTCTTTTGATATTTCTTATGGTAATGCAATTTGATATTTTTTATAGTTTTTCACCAATTACCCTCTCTCTGATTTGCCTTTCTCGACCACTACGGTTTTTTTAGTTTTATATTTTCACCAATATTTTTCTTTTTCTATCCAACTATCTGCCTACACGGCTTTGGCAAATTCATTTTGTTTCCTGATTAAAATCATTTTCTTTTTTGTTTTCTTCATCTACTTCCTGGTATACTTAAGCTCCTATTTTTGAGTACTTGGTACATGCTGGCTTTGATTACCCTTGTCATACCTTTTGTAGTAAATTAAGTTTCATACACGCAGAAAGAAAAATTTGGTAAAATTAAGGGGTGTATGATAGTGACATATCTGGTGAAAACAAAGCAGTAATTCTGGTAACTAAAACCGAAATTTCTTCGCATTTTTAAAAAAAAAAATTGTTTTTAAACATATCTAGCTACATCAAACTACAAACGTTCTGCAATACATTTTATTTGATTCTGACAAATACAAACCGATCGAAACTTAAAAATAAGGGGAAAATGAGAAAGGAAAAAAAATGTTTGAAACAGAAACACATATCGAAAGAATAATGATAAGAGTTTGTGATAATTCTTTTTCTGCTTCACTTGAAATCTTTCAACCGAAAAGAGAGCTGTTTGAAAGTTTTCTAAATGGTTATCTTAGATAAAGGTCCTACTTGCTGAACATTATGTGCTAAAATCCCATCCATCACTCCTCGCTTCACTTAGATTATTTTAAACTGAAAGAAAAATTTGAGATTCCGTGACAAAAATACGCTATCCCTGCATACGGAATACTGTTTTGAGCTTATTTAGATTATTTTCTGTAATATGAATATGAGAGTTTTCTGCATATATGTAAGCTTTTTTTTCATCTTTTCATAATAGTTATCTAATCTTTTATTTATTTAAGCATGCTCATACCAAATTATGATATCAATATACTCATATAAACCATTAAAGTGCTTGGGATAATATTGATGATTTATCGGATCGTCTTTCCAAAGGTTGTATTTAACATCAAACTGTTTTTAGTATTATATTCAGATAGATGCTTTATACATTTCTTTTGGAATTCACAGTAGACAACGGCAAAATATGCGTACACATATTAATATCTACGTCAATATAGAAATCAATCCATTGAAAAATTTGAAATTAAGACTTAGCATTATATTACATTCTAATTACATTAATATCAACCTATTAGATTATGCAATCAGGCTGAAAATTTAATTATTTTTTGTTCTTCAAATTATTTGTAAAGCATTTTTTTGTAATATTTGCTGTATAAAAAGTTTCAAATTTTCATTTTGTATTAATTTTTTTGAAAATATAAATAGATGTAAGGGCAACTATAAAATTAAAAAGTACAAAAATAGAAGTAATAGTAAAATTAAAACATAAATGACGTTATCATATGTAAAAATAAATAGTAGAAAGGTATTTTTTTTAGTTTCCTAAGATTTCTATAGGACAAGAAAACATCAGCACAGTACACACTACGAAAAAAAAGGTATGGGAAAACTACCAAAATATGGTAAAATTTTCCGTGTTTCAGGATCTATGAGAACACCTAAACACAAATTATAATTGAGTATATAAGTCTATGTAAATAAAAAGTTCTAAAATTTTCCTTTTAGCAATATAACTTGGTATTTCTCTTTCTGAGAAGTATCTAAATAAAAAATGGAAATCTTAAAATTCTGTTTAACTCTTTTTACTAAATTTTTAATGCATTCAGAATGTCTATCAACTGCAGATATTTACATTAGACTCAGGTTGTCATCTTTACTATTAAAGCAACCATATCTATAAATATGAATATACATTAATAAATGTAATATACATGTATTTGTTAAAAGAATAAGTGAGGCATTAAAAAATTATTTAATGAAATTTTTATAAGATCTTTTTTAGTTGAGTTAGTTTATAAAAAAATATCAGATGCTAAAAATAAATTTGCAAATTTTCATACTCGCCTATATTTATTTAAATTTAATTTTGAGTTTCAGTAAATTTATTCAGGAAATTTATCTATGGGGTAAAAATTAAAATGTTCAATTTATTTAACAGAATGGGATAATTCATTTTATATTTGAAAATCATCTCAAGCAGTTATTTATGTGACTCATTAGGTATTACTATCACCAAATATATTTCTGTAACTTATATTGTAAGCTCAGTTTCCAATTCTTACTTAACCCTTTTATGCGAGTAAACCCCTTTTATATAGTGTTTGTGTTTGTGGATTGAACGTTTTTTAATCCAATGCATGCATTAAAACTTTTTAGCTTAATTCAGATAAGGAATAAAATACGAATAATTAATTAATAAAATGTATCTTTCATGGTATTTTTATTTCGAATTATTACTTAATTTGAAATTTAATTAATATTTTTTTTGTATATGTCTGTATAGTGGGAAACGAGTTCTTAAGTTATCCTTTCACACTATTATATTCTTCAGACTTACGTGTGTAAGCTATTTTAATTTCAGTTTATTTTTTAATCTCAGAACTCTTTATTTAATTTATATATTTATATATATGTAATTTCTATTTCTGAGACATATTTGATTAAAAATAGGAAACATAGAATTCTGTAGTTCAATTCTTTACTAATTTGTTATTATTTTTTCAATACATTCTAGATGTTTGCCAGATTGAGATATTTATGCGTGATTCAGGTTATTGTTTTTAGAGCTATAAATATATAGTTAAATTTTTCATTAGCCTACATTTATTTAATTATTTTGGATTTTCAGTAAATTTCTTTCATAAAGTAACGTATAGAATTAAAATTAAAATATTCAATTTATTTATGAAGTGACAATCCAATTTACATTAAAATCAATTCTAATAGTTGTTTATATGACTGATAAGATATTATTATCTCGAAATATATTTCTGTAACTTAAAATTAATAGAATTAAATATCCAATCCTCAGTAAACCCTTTTAATATGGTGTTTCCAAGCAATGAATCGTATATATTTGATTTATGGTGCATTTTAATTGCCATGATAACAAACGACTGTTGTGACATTTTATATCGTAGTGTTAAATTCATATTGTTAATTTAAGCTTTATCATAAAATTCTATTTTGGAAATTTATTTTTAGGGTCATTCTGTTTTTACTATTGAAGACACATATAAATTGGATAAATTGCAATCTAGACAATTGGGTGAAAGTGGAAAAAACTCAATACCTATAGGTAAGGTATTGCGATAACAGTATTTGTTTTTAAAAAAAGTCAATATAATCTAATTTTCTTAAATGCTTTTGAAAATTCTTAAAATTTGAATAAATGCATAGTTAAATTTTTATCTGATTTATCTAGAAAAACTTGTTGTAAATAAATTAATATATTTACACAACATTTGAAATTTCATTTCAAAAATTCACTAATTTGTCGGCAATTAAAATATTTCTTTAATTAAAAAATATTAAATAATCTTCTCAATCGTAATTGATAAATTTAATATAATTAAATCTTAACAAATATAAACAAATAATATAAACAAACAACAGTAATATAAACAAATTCATACGTAAATAAAAAAGAGTACATTATTGTTTTCATTGATGTTTTAAAAAGAACATTGTTAGTCACGAAGATTTGTAAACTTGTTTGCAACAAATTTATTTGATACATTTAGAGCAGCAAAATTTGTCATAGATACTCATAAAGTAGCAAATACAATGAAACATATAAAAGACTGTTAACCCTAAAATACTGTTAGGAGTGTAAATTTCAAATCGAAATTTAAATAAATTTGTTCTTTTAAAAAAAAAGATTTTAAATGTAGTCATTTGTCTATTAAAATCATTTAAATTAATTAACAAACAAAAAATCATTTCGGTTTATGGCCATCAAATTCAAATTTGCATCAAATAAGAAAGTTAATATGTTATTAATGAACTTAACATCCTGTCCATAAAATAGTGTCACTCTTAATTTAATTGCAAAAAAGTCATTATGATAACTATTTCAATATTTTTTTATGAATTCTTTTAAATAAAACTAAAATTAATTAATTATTAGCTAAAACAGTTGTTTAAAAGAATAACATTTTAGCAGTTTAATTTTTAAGTTAAAAGGGATGCCTTGAATGTTTTCTATTTCTTTTAAAAAATATATACAGGATATATATACGTCGTTTCAATTTATTATTTTTAAAATACATTTTTATAAGGTTTCAAGAACTGTCCCATTTCTTACATCTCTACTAATTTTTAAAATTTCAGATATTGATATTCACGAAACTATAGTCGAAGAAATTCCACATTCTTTGGATACTTCAAGTGGAAACTGCCCAGATATATTACGGAATGAAAAGTGTGCTTGTTTAACTGCTTCCAAAGTAAGTAAATACTTTCAGCAACGCTTTACATAGATTTTATTTTTCAACAATACTTAAAATATTTATATATTTTTGAACAAATAAATATTTTACTTGTTTTGGAAAAAAATCGTTACAGCTCAACACCCTCAGAAATAAAATTCTCATTTTTGACGATATAGCAATCCTTGAGCTGAATTTCGTTAATTTTTAGTATCATTCTGTCACAAAATTATGTCAATTGTAAAGAAACACGGACTCTCAAATATATGGCGAAAATGCTTTCTTTTAACTCGAAACTTCATCGTAGTGCAGTGTGGGAGCTTGTTAACTGAAATGAAAACCAAACGATTGTACGACATAAGCCGAGCGGAAATTAAATTAGAAATTGGTTTCGTCGAAAATCAAAAGAGTTTCGTGATATTTGAGTATCACTATTTTACAGTGAAAATAGCCTTTGTTTAAATACGATACAAAAATTAACTCTAAATCAGTATTAAATTCTTACATTTAATTTTAATGTATTGTATTTCCAGTACCATCTAATATTTCAAAGCATATGACAATTTCCATGTATATTCATATTTAAATACTATCATTTTTTTAAAAAAAAATCTTTAATTTTATTTGCACAATCAAAATGGAAAAAAATATAATCTTGAGATTGAACTCTTTTTTCTTTAAGATTGCAGTTGATGAAGAAAATTCACCTGACTCTGTAAGTCCAGACAGTCCAAAATTCAACTCGACCCCTTCTGGATCAATTGAATCCTGCCTAAGTGTATATCATGAGAAAACTTCCATAAGATCTCTGACAGGAGGTAAGACATACAAATTAAGTAATAAATGACAAGTTTAATTAAACTCTAAGAAATTAAATAAGCAGATTACATTATTTTGATTATCAGTTGTTTGTCCTCGAAATATCCATCAACTGTTACCAGTTACTGAAAATTCTGTTCAGATATTTGCCTAATAGATAATACGTTAATGCAAAAACTATATCTGTTCAAAGATTAAGGCTGCATTAAGACAAATTCTAAGTGTTTGACATTTTTTTAATGTGCATTATAGAAAAGTTTTATGAAGGGAAAGATATTTCAAGCACTTTCATTACTCATACAATCAAATAATTCGACCATTGCGCAAGCAATCAAATGATTTCGCCATTACTCAGGCAATAAAATTATTCGACCATTACTCATGTAATCGAATAATTCGACTTTTTATTTGTCAATATATCCCGCATACCATTAATTTAGATGTTTTATAATTATCATTATTATTATGATTAACTTCCTTTTTTACTGTAAAGGAGAATAGAAAATTGTATTTGTTTTTAAAATGTTCTAATTCTGATAATAATTGAATTCTTCCGATACAAGTTATTCAAATAACATTAAAAAGCGTAAATTTAAACTTGACTAATAGTTATCAAAAATGGTTAATAAAAGCATTTAAAAAAGTGTAGTTACCTGATGGAATTGGAAATAACTGAAGATGATTATTTTTGGTTTTCAATGTCCACTAATTTGATTTCCTTATTCTTAAACTTCTCTTTCCCAGTAATGATTTTCAGCTTTTATTAAAAAAATGACTTACTTCTTTATTTAAAAAAATCTACTCAATCCCTTATACAAATATAAAACTGAATTAGAAAATATTTGTTTAAAATTATTCTTTAAAATATCATATTTTTTTTAAATTTTCTCATAGTTTTTTTTTCTGCTTCTAAAATTGTAGGATACTAAGTATTGATTGGATAACGGGGGTGAATCATTCAGCAAATGAGAAGCGGAGATAAAATAGAGAAACTTTTTCCAAGAAACCATGGTAAGAAAAGTTTTTACATTGGAAAACAATTAAACATGACATATACAATTCAATAGCTTTTTTCGAGCGTTTGGACTCAGTTGGACCCTTTTTTTATACATTGAGCACCATACGTGTTTTGGAAATCCCCGTCTGGCCACGTGAGCAGATTAGAAGTTCAATAGTGGCACAGTCATGCGAAGCGAACAGATTGAAATAAGTAAATATTAAGTAAATTTTCAGAGAATTTTCAGTTATTGTTTAAATTATTCAAAGTTAAAATGTATATATATATATTTTACAGTGTCCAGTCACTAATGACTGACAAGGCCTAAATAAAAAGTTACGGAAAGCTCAGTATCTGCCACTGATGACTGGTGTGGTACTCAACGCGTTAAAACTCATAAACGTTTCTTAAAATGTCCCTAATTTTGAATCAATACTACAAAACTATCTAATTACTAAACAAAATTGAAATCACCTATATATCAATTGGAAAAATGTAAAATTGTATTAATTTTACGAAAAAAATTTCATATCCTTTTATATTGGTTAAATAATATTTACATTATTTTATTTCAATACATGTTGATAAAGTTTTTGTTGTCTTTACCTTTTATTCAACCATATTACTAATACATTTTACTAATCATTGAGTTATTAATAAGTAATTGACAAAATAAGAAAATTTATATCTATTGCTTTAAAAATAATTTAAACTTGCTTTTTAAAAATTCGAGATAGTGCGAAGCACACAGGTTAATTTTTTAAAACATGTGAATAATTCCTCAAGGGAAATATCTAGTAAAAATATTCATTAGCATTTTGTTTTAAAATTAAAATGATAACTTTTTTAAGTGATTTCAATTTGGTTAATGCATTTTAAAATTCCTATCACTGTTTTTCTTTAAAAAGAACGAAAATGAGAAATTTTTTATCGTTTCACAGAAAACATAGCAACTTACAATTTACTTGTTTAATGTATTAGTGAAAATATAAATACAGCAGTATAATAAGTGGTATTATACACTTTAATTAATTTGATTAAAATATTTTTTTAAAGCGACAAAAAAACTATATTTTTACATTATATAACGTTTGTATATTTAATCATATTATTATATAACTCTATTTTCATTTATGATATAGGAAATGTATCTACGATTGAACTTTAAAAGATCATAATATTGCTTGAGCACTTAACAGATCGTGGAGACCATTGGATCAGTATATGGAGGTAGGTTAATACAACTTAATACGACGTTATTTATAATTAAGACGCATATTTTCATAAAAGTTACGTTTTGATGAATGATTTAAATGGGTCAAAAGTTTTCCCACATATAATGAAACATATGTGTGATTTAACTGCTTTTTAGTCACGTGATTCTTTTTTTCCGATCTTTTTCTTCACGTCATTCTTTTTTTTTTTATATAAAAAATGAACATTTCTGTTTCTGGGGTCCAAGATCACTCGTACGTAATCTCAATACGATACATTTGTATTACGTCTCGTATTGTTGCGTATACACAGTCTGTACTACGTATACTCTCAGACTATGCGGTCCTGCGAAAACGCATTTTTCTCATTTCTAAATGGGTTGAAATGGAGTAACCTTGTTATCAAACTCTCTGTGAACTATTTTAACATTTATGTTTTTAATTTTGCTATATCCTAGTTCGTTTTCCAAGTTTTGATGTAAATTTTCCGTAATATTATATTTATGATAATATCGTGTTATTTTATTATATATTTGCATACGTTTTTCTTGCTTGTTCATTGTTCTGTTAACATTAGAAATTTGTTGTTTCACTTAGTATGCATGTATGATGCATACACTAGCCAAAAAATATCTATGCTAATATGAATACGAACGAAATCCAGTGCGAAGTATGAAAAAAAAACTCCAAAGACTGCAGCAACTGTTGCTTTCTGTAAGTATTAAACGAAGAATGAATTAAATTTCTAGTTGATTAATCTAGTTGGTTAAACTTTTGCTAGCGTTGCCTGAAATATGGAATGGCTGCATTAAACACTTTTATTTTGCAAAACCATTCGATAATTGGATTGTTTCTTTATGTGCTATTATCTTATTCAGCAAAGTTCCTGTGTATTTCGCACAGCTTATAATTTGCCTTAACCCTTTTCTTTTTAGGCTAAGAACTCCGGATGATTTGATAACATTTCAAAGGCAGACTGTTAGGTGGTGATTTACTGAATTTGTTGATATTAAATTGCGGAAAGATGTTTTAATGGCAAACAAATGGTAGGTCATTGTATTTAAATTTTCAAAAAAGTATTTCACATAAAGAATTAATCGAAAATTATATTTCTTACTATAAAATGTTTGTAAATAAATACATATACTTAGTATTTAATATATTGGCAGTGGTAAAGTATTATTAAATCTATATTTAAGTAATAAAAGTGATATCGAAGTCTGTGAAGATAATGTATAGAAGGCAGAATTAAAAACATCAAATGCAGCAAAATTGTCCAGTCAAAAACTTTAATTAATTTAAATCATACCCAAATGGTAAATTATTAAGTGTTGTTAATTTTGTACTATAGTAGCTTGCTACAAATAATGTGATTTCGTTGTATTTCCTATTAAGTTTCTAAATCTTTCCTTTTTTTCATTTTTCAGATTTCTTCAGATGCAATGAAGTACAAAACTCAGATGACGATAATGATTCAGTCCAGGGCTGTAAAAGAAAAACGTCAATCATGTTTGTTTAAATTAAATAATATTTTTTCTTAAATCGTAGAGTAAAGTTACAGAAAATTTCTCACTCCATCTTTGTTCATTTTTACGTAATATCTATAGCATCGTTGACTTAAGCTGTGGGTTTAAGGTAAATTAATATAGTTATAACGAAAAAAATATTTATTTATGCACAAAAACAAAAACAAGTATTTTTATACATAAAATTAAAAATTGTTAAGTTTAGAGTGCATTTAAATTAGACTACAAGGCATGCAGTTTTAAATGAATTTTTAATATGAAAGCTTAGTTGAGACATTGAATAAGCTACTTTAATTAAACTAGCTCATTTAAATTTTATTTCTCTGTTTCATTTAAAGACACAAAATCGTTAAATTTTAAATATATTTAACACATTTATAGATCTCTAAAAAAGATGTATACAGATGAAGTACGCATTACAAAAGTAAAATGAAAGAGCAAGAAATCTAGTTAAAGTCCTGAAATTATTTATTTAAGATTTATTAAGACCAAAAACTTATTTATTTGAATAATAATTTTAAAAAAAGCCATTTTCTTTGAATTTTAATAAGAAAATGGTAAATATTAGTGGTTCAGTTGCTCCACTTTGAATATTAACTATTAAAATGTTGAAAATATTGACAATATTAACTTTTTTGAAGAAAGTTGTTGCTAAATATTAATAAAATTTATATATATAAATTTCTCACTTAAATTGAATATTAATAAATATATACTATTGTTAATCTTATCAAAAAAAATTTTAATATCTTACTAAAATGTATCATTCAGTTGTTAACGTATTTATATTTATAAATTATGGGATTATACGATTTTGTTAATATATTATTATTGTTGTCTTTTAAAGATTATTAAAAAGCAAATATTGAATATGCACTTAATCTTTTTGCATCTTCTTATGAGTAAAAATAAAGAAATTTTTTAATGATCTGTATTAAACCTCAATTAGGTAAAGGACGGCTACAGAAAAGGTATTTTTTTGATTTCGTATGAGTAAGTAAGTTTTGCGTTTTTTTAAAAATACTACGTCTGCAAAACTGCAGTATTTGTGAGAAAAAAAATAATAACATCAAAAAAGTTATCAAATCTTGAAATGTAAAATCTGTGAAATTATAAAGCATTCAAATTAAATTATAATACCACAATCATAAAATAAAGTATTTACGGAAGTAAGGAAGGAAGTTGATTAAAGAGGGAAGGAGGTTGAAATTACTAATAAAAATATTTTTCTATCAGATTCTGACTAATACCACGTTACAAATAAAGCAAGTTTTGTTAGCCGGCACCAATGTGTATTCATGAACACGAAGAATATGAGGACCAAACTTAGATATGGCATGCTCCGTTTGTTCATGTTTTAAATACTTTGTTAATTGAAAAACTGAATTTTGATGCTACTACTCTTTGTACATTTGTTAAGGAAATAAATATATTAAATATAATCTTTAACTCCTAATGTGTATTTTTCTTTAAAACAAACAAAATTGTGTGACTTACATGATGGTAATAAAACACAATCTGGTGTTCTACAAGAAATATAGAAAAGCGCTATAATTGGATCAGTAAGAGTGCCCGACGAAACTAGCAATAGTTATGTGGCTAACTGAAACGTCTCCAAAGTACATTCTTTTCTAAGTTAAGGTGATCATTATAAGTGAAAGATAAGGTGATAAATATGTGAGTATCGTAGGTTGCTTTGCGAATGTTATTGATATTACAGATAATGAATCAAATGAGAGGTGTTTGTGCATTCATTTAAGACGAATGCGTCTCATAATGATGATTATTGCGACTTGACAAGGCAACGCAATATGAAATCATACGTTTCACTGATACCTGAAAAACCTCTTACAATTCACTATTATTTAATTAGCCTTTTACTTGTGGCTGTTACAGCATATGGACCACATGTGATGGTAAAACATGATACACCATAATCATGGGGTTAAGCGAAACATATCGCCTTGAACACCCATCTCAATTGCAGCCTAGACGCTTTCGATTGAATTCAGGTAATCTTTATGGCTAGAAAAGTGTGTGCAAATGAATGATTCCAGCATTAAAAAAAATCTCGATTGTTTCTGTCATGTGGTAAAATTATACACTTTTTAGTTTTAATATTTTATTTTTTTATTTTTCAAACTCAAAAGTAGTAAATTTCATACATTTTTTTCCCCACTAAATGCAGTTACTAATAAACAGCTGCTCTTTTAAAGACAGAAAAGAAAGAGCATGTACATTACATAACATGTAAAACGATTCATTTATTCGGATATTTTAATTTTTGTATTTTCTCTTATTATTATTTAATATCTAACGTCTATTTAGAGTCATAAAAGCTTATTTACTAAACATCAGCTAAAGGAGATTGTTTTTTCATTTTCCCAAGACAATTTCCTCAAATTTATCAAGGACAGCAACTTTTTTGAATTAAAACTATTTTTTTATAATCTTATGTGCTTGAAAAGCAAATAATTAAATAATGTATACATGAAAAAAAACTATCCTAGGAGACTTAGATAGAGAGAAATAGGAAGTAAAGGGAAAAACTCTTTGTTTTTGAAGCACTAGAAAAAACTGCATTTTATTAATTAAAACATAAAGTTTGTGCTTTGACAATAATGAATAAATTGTTTTTCTTACTGTGTGTTATGCTTTCATTCTCCAAGCTATATCAATGCATAAAGATGAGGCTTTTTTCTTTATTCTCTAGACATTTTAACTTTTCATTATTACAAATTCAAAAAAAAGAAAAAGGAGAAGATGTTAACTTTATGGCTTTCACTCAAATATTTAAAACAGAGAAAATTTTCTTTTTGTTTTTCCTTCAATTCTTTAAGATTGCTTCTAAAATAAAATCGTTAGCTTTTTTGTTAATAAATATATAAATGCATTTTAGTATTTTCCCAAACTCCCCGATGACTCAAAGTAATTGCTATAAGTAATTTTACATTTTCTATTTAACTGACATAAAAATGTAGTAAATCAAACTTTTTAACTCAACAATTTTTAATAAGCTCATTTTGTGAGAAATATCACTTGAACAGCTGAAGCATATCTTGTTTATGATGGCATTAATTTTCTTTGATAAAAGGATGAAGAGATAAACTACGCTTAATCACAAGTCGCTTTAGAAATTGTCGTAAGTATTGTTTATTCTTTTAATTAATAAATTGTTGGAGATTTTCTACACATTTATTGAACTTCTTTTAATAATTTTTAAATGTAAGTATTTTACTAATATAT